GTTACTCACCAATAATTAACCATAACGAAAGATGGTAAGCAACAATACTCATTCTTATTCATCACTGAAATGTGTCTAATTGTTTTTAGATCCACAAAGATCTAATAGATTCAAATCTATTATGAAGCAAAACGGGGGGTACACTATTCCATTCAGTATCATTTTTATTAATTTTTTGGGAAAGAAATTATAGAAATGAATACTTTTATTTAGCAAGGATGCTTAAAATTGATCAAAAGTGATGATAAAGGCATTTATAATGTTACAAAAGATTTCGAATTCAGATAAATAGTGTTCATATCGATATCGGAATTATATCGTATCGACCGAAATGAAGAAATATATCGCGATATCAATTTTGGCCATATCGTCCAGCCCTAACCACACCCGATCATCACATTCAGGGTTCGTACGGTCATGAAAAACCAAGAAAGGTCATGGAATTTTAAAACAGCAATTTCCAGGCATGGAAAAGTTTTGGAAAAGTCATGGAAATCTATTTCACAATTCTCTGTATAAAAGAATTATGTTTGAGCAGGTCCTGAATTTGGATGCAGGATTGCGCATATATCGCAATACCCAATCCCGCAGCTTTCGACTTTAAAATGAGGGAAATTGCAGCAAAACATTTATTCAATATAGCATGTAGGTTTAGATAAGTAAATAAATCCACACAAACCATGAGATCAAATTAGTCAATTGAAAACAGCATGGGTGATTTAGCTGTACCGCGTCCTCTCTTTGACTTTCTCTTCACATCGGCGCATCTAGAGCTGCTGCACGCTGCGATACAAGACTTTAGCTCGTGTTTCGGTACAGTTGACAGAATTGTCACTTGCCTAATCGGTCATTGTTGCATCGTCACAAAAATTTATTATTTTTACGTCTTTTTAAGCCATTTGGTACTCACGCTTTTCTGTGCGCTCACAGTCACATCCAAAGCGCGCGTTGTGGTCAAATTGAGTTTGTTGCGCTTAAGTGCTTAAAGCTTGTTGCGCTTAAGTGACCAAATACACACAAAATGACGTCAAAATTGTTGTCCTCGCAAGTATCCTCATAACCACTGTCGGTTTCGTCTTAAGTTAATGTAAACAGTTGCGAAAGAAAACGCATGTGTATCAGTATTGGATCCGTGAAATAGGTCTTGTGCCAGCAGCCTGATAAAGATGTGCCGTCTGTCATTAATGTTAATCAAACAACAAAAGACAGAAAAAAATCCCTCACTGCTCTTGACTAAATAATGTTTTGTTGAATAACTTTAATATGTTAATTTACAGTTTATTCCATTTCTGTAGCCTATTTAAAACAGGTTTATATTTTAGAAAAAGTAATTAATATTTGCATCATTAATGATTTATCTTATCCACCCGCAAATAATCAGAATGCATTTTTTTATTACCCAACCCACCTGACCTGCGGATTATCCGCAGCGCTCGCGGACATAACCGCCATCCACGCATCACAAGTACACATTCACAGGGCTGGGTGGAAAAGTACAGTAGATGAATCTCTAGGCTAATGACTTTTCTGAAAGCTAATTGGACTCAGCTAAGCTGGAGTCCAAACAATGAGATGAGGCTGTAGGTGTTGGTCACATACTTTTTCCTGCAACTGTATTTTTTAATGGTGGAAAAATTAAAGGGCAAGTTCACTCAAAAATGAAATTGTCATCTGTTACTAATCCTCATGTTGTTTCAAACCCATAAGACTTTTGTTCATCTTTGAAACACAAATAAAGATATTTTTAACGAAACCTTCTGACTCTCCATTGAAAGGCCATTCCACCAAAAATACTTCAAAAAGTTTCTAAAAACATTGTAAAAGCAATCCATATGAATTCTTCTGAAGAGATTTTATTGCATTATATGATGAACAGATTTAATTGAAAATCTAATTTGGTAAATGAAGACTCAAATATACTTGTTTGACATGTGAGAAAAACCTGCATTGGTTCTTGTGCGTCAAGCAAGCACATTTGAGCCTTCATGTTTATATGGATTGCTCTTACAATATCTTTATAACATTTTGGTTGAATGGACTTAAATTGGAGGGACAGAAATATATAATCTAATTATATATTGAAGAAATTGAGTGGCTTCTATAACTAAAGTAATTGAATTTTCTTTTTAGAGCGACGTAACCCTTTAACTAGACAATGTTTTAGACAACACAGGCTACTTGTCATTGTTTTAATGATACAATTTGAGTATTAATAAGAACAGCGGCTGAAACAGGAAATTGTATTATACAGTAAAAACACTTCTGATGTCAAGTGGCCAATTTCATAACTGGTTCAAGCTGACAGTTAATTTTGGCTAAAGTATCATTGCATAGAGTTACTCACCAATAATTAACCATAACGAAAGATGGTAAGCAACAATACTCATTCTTATTCATCACTGAAATGTGTCTAATTGTTTTTAGATCCACAAAGATCTAATAGATTCAAATCTATTATGAAGCAAAACGGGGGGGAAAAAACACAAAAAAATATTTTTATGCATTTACTGTAAAAATGCATCCAGGGATATTAAGAATCAATATCAGATAACAATTTAAATGAAGACTGTATTAAGTTAGAACATATATCTATTTTTACCCAGTTGTACATCGCAATGAAATAAAACTCCCCTTATTCCGACTCATTTTCTAGTCTAAAGTTAAATCAAATCAGCGTCAGGGGAGGGGAAAAAAATGACAGCTCTCCAATTGGCTAAGAGAGTCATCGATCACGACGGCCCGTGTCATTACCGTGACAGAGCTGCGCTCAGCAATTCAGCTCATATTCTGTTTGAGCAGAGTTCAGAGGGGGACGAGGAGCACATCGAGCGCCCGCTGCACAATACACCTGATTCTATACAGTAATGCTCTCATCTCTCTCTGCCAGCTCTCCAATCAATGCCATTCAGCTTCAATCAATTCTTTTATACCCTATTCAATGGATGGGTTATTGGGATTACTTACAGTATAGACAAAGAGCCTGTAAGCATATGACAAACAACAGAAGGCAGCTCTCAGTGTCTTTTTATTCAGTTACATAAAGTATTTTTTACTGTGCCAAGTCATTCTCATTATTTGATATCCAGAGTTAATACCCACAAGCTGTCAGTGATACATTCAAAAAAATGAAGCAGAGTGAATAAGAACTAGGAACAGAGAGGCAGATGATGACAAAGGTCGACAAATACACGCACTGATGCAATCTCAACTGAGCAAACAATATCAACTCAAGATAATCCCGCTGCACTCATGGTGTCTCTCTTATAAAACGCAGACTCCAGTGTCTACATAGGTGAGTGTTAAAGTCCCCATGAAATCAAAATGAAAGTTTTTTGGGTGTTAGTATCAATATGTTAGTCTTAAGGTTATCTATAAGGCAGTGTGCTCCAAAACAGTGACAAAATTCGCATTTAGAAGATATAAGCATTCAAAGCTTACAGTTCGTCACTTCCGCCAAAACGGCTCAACGATCACATGCGCGAGTCGTCACAGACAACACAATGTATCGGGAGTTATTTGAATTCTACACAGAATGCTATATTTTATAGCAATATGGATGAGATTATGGCTGGCATACCCTGTCAAATGCAGCTTTACGGAGCTCAACGGCTCTAGCCCAAGCTGTGATATAAACGAACGCTATTGGCTATTTTAAAAAGGGGCGGGGCTGCTTGATATGTCCCGCCCTGTCTTCCGGTTTCAGTTAAAATGACATCAACACAGAGTAAGGCTGCGTGTTTCTAAGCATTTCAGGGGATTTTTAATGGAAACCCGGCTGCATATTCACACCGACAGAGATGTGCGAGAGGACGACATCAAAGACCTAGAGAGCTTGTATTCTCTACGGAGATCTGGCCCATAACCTGCCCTGAAAGTGTGCATGTGCTTTCGGCAGCGTTCGCTTGAGAGAGACACATAAAAGCTCCTCTTGGTGCTGGGGTCAATTACATTTAAATTTGACCAGCTCAAGAGGTGCACTAAGGGTCAATACACAATTCAAACACAAGCATACTCAGCAGATTTTAAAAAAAGCCTAGTTAGGCTAAGTAAAATGTGACTTTCTGAGCCCTCCAAGTAAGGATGAAGTGATTGTGTGGATCAGTCACAGTGAGGTTTGGATAGCTGCTCTGCAGGACTGACAGAAAACACTTGAGTTTTTCATTCACTGTAGTGGAATTAAGACTGTTACCATGCCAACAAGCCACTCGGGAAGTGAGAGGTGAAGATTGTTGAGATGAGGTGCTAATGAATAATGATGATAAATCTGATAAAAATGAGTGATGTACAAGGTTCACACTATTAATTCTGCATCAGATTTGTACTGTATATTAAGAGGGAAATCAGTTTGTTAAAAGTTTCAGGCTTGAGATAAGAGTGAAACAATGAAAAAAAGAAAGAAAGAAAAAGAAAAACAAACATTTGCTGCTGCAAGGCAGATTTTTTGGCAGATTTATACTTGCCCTCTTGATATGTTTACTGCCACCATTACAAAACAAGAACAACATTTTAAAAGAAAAAAAAAATTATTTTTATTGTACAAAAATAGCTGGAATTCTATTATAATTTGATTTGTCATATCAAAATACACAAACATTTTTACTAGAAAATGTTTCCATATGGTGATTTATTTATAATGGTCAAACCATTTTAACTTCATTTTAAACTTTAAAATTAAAAAAAATTATGTGAAAGACATTTAATATTAGTTCGCTACATAATTTTACCATGTGACACATTTTATCAGCAGAATTCAAAACAATGTTCAATACATCACAGAAAACCAAATTCTTATTATACAGGGTCATCTGCATTTTTAAGCCTTGGAAACCATCCCATTTAAGAAAAATTAATGAATGAAATAATTAATGAAAGAATGCATAAATGAATTAATAAATAAATAAATAAAACTAATTTAGGCCGATTATCCATAGCTGATTTATAAATTCAGGATTATTTCAGTGATCAGTTCAAAAAACAACCAACAAAAACACTTACTTCTTGCAGCTGGTCTTGATAAATCAGTGCACTAGTTGATTTGTCCTGGGTGGAAGTGTGAATCTCAGCGTGTGTTCAGACACCTGTAATGAGGACAGAGAGGACATGCGGTGAGGGTTTGATAGAGGACTCCTGCGCAGTTGCGTCACTTTTGCAGTCAATATTTACACTCGCTCATTTGCGAGGTGTCTCTGTCTCAGACAGTCCACTCTTCTCTCCTAGACTATGATCTGAACATCACTGAAGAGCTTTGTGTCTGTTGATGTACATGTATTGACAAACCATGTACCAATAGGAACCCAGCCCTTGACCAATTACAGTCCATCACACATGATTCACACTCAGACAGGAGAGAGATCTAGGAATAAAACACCTTCAAAAAGAGGTGAAGGTAAAGTCTTTTAATGACTCTCTAATGGGAGGTTTGATCTCAGACACTGAAGCTGGCCAAAGGCAAAGAGTGGATGAGACATGTGCATACATATTTTAATCGACTAGCTGGTGGACTACCTGAATGGCTAGCTGACAAGTCAGTACTAGAAAAGTCATGTATAAATAGACTGGGCCATGTCCACCAGACTCTAAACAGATGCATTTCTAAAAATATATAATTGCGAAAGTTATTTTTAAACTATAATACAGTATAAATGTGAATATAGTAATAACAATCATCATTAAAAAAAAGACATAAATACAAGACACATTTAGCAATGAAAATTAAGGGGATAAAGTTAAATTGCTGTAAACATAAAACACACACAAAAAACAATAATAATACATAAAATATAAATAAAAAAATAATAAAATAAAACCAAAAATAAAATAAGGGGAGTAATTGTTTACTGAATTTCTTATGAAAAACATGATTTATTATTTTTTTTCCATTTGGTTTTGGAGTATAATGTATCCTGACACACACCTGGAAAGTGGCACACCATTGTGGATTCTGCATAATAACAGATCATTGCTCGCAGCAGGCGATCTGAGGGCTGATAGAGATCCTTTTAAATCTGTTGAAGGTGGTGAATTTGTACATAAGCGGTGCTTTGATGGCGATGGAAACGGTGCTTTAAGGACAATGAATTGAGACATGCAACTTTTTGGACACAGTAACAGCGCAGCATACTAAAACATTCACTGAGATGTTGCAAATCCCAAATATTTGCTTCAAAAGCATAAAAACATCATCTTCCCTAATCAACTAGCTGGTTGTTAGATAGCTGGTAACTAGTCTGCTTTTGAAACCTATCGATGATCAAAATGAGAAATTTCCCAAAATGCCCATCCCTAGTTGCACTGTAAAACCCTCTCAGAAGGCATTGCATTTTTTCCTTTATTCTCTTTAACGCACAATCGCTACATCCATAAACATGCAGACTGACTTGTCTTCAGTTGTTGTGTTGCATCTCACGTTGTTTGAGCGTCCCGCCAGGAGCGCTGCAAGACAAAGCACTGTAGAAGTTAAAAATAGTCTGATTTTTCGAATGCATCTCAAGACCCCTGCATTCTGTGCCACTGAATTTAGCTGTTGTATATAAATGCCCCCACTAAGAAATGAGTCAGAGATCAGGCAAACCTAAAACCAGACCAGATTAGATTACTAGGCATTCAGATAACCCAAAGACTAGTTGTATTTAAAAAGTAATATGTAGTTCTGCACATTCATAACATAGACATGGACAACCCAAGGTTAAAGAAGAGGGACGTCATTGATCCAACCCAAAAAAAAAACCTTCATCATTTAAACCAAACATTTACAAAAATGACATGTATAGTTAAACAGCACTCATCCTGTCTCTCCTTCTCATACACACAAAGCAACCTCTGCACAGTGTCAAAGTCCCAACAAGAGCCATGTTCCACTCTCCACTGCACTGACTAATTCAATATTGATAAAGAAACTAAACAAAACATGGCTATCAGCACTGGAGGATTCCCAGTAGCAACAGTGAGCAATCTCCCAACTCTACCCTCACTACATGTCTCTCCTTCCCATTTATTTCACTCTGTTTCCTGTACAGTCCTTGGCTTTCTCCAGTTATATTCAACATTATATTCCGATTACCATACTACCGCACCACTCAGTATTTCCACAGTATATTACAGTATGAAGGGGGATTTCACAAAACAATTGTCACTTGAATTGTATTTGAATTGTTTGCATAAAGAAAATGGATAAATTTAGCAGAATTAATTATTTTAGAACCATACTTTGCTGTACTGTGACAATTTTGAGGCAATTCGTGATAAGCTCTCCCCAATCTATAATTCATTCACGCATTATTTTTTCTTTCCTGTATTTAAACATTGAAACTAAAAATAGCATTAAAAATGCTTTCTTAAAATAATTTTTTTTAATTTGGTGTGAAGGCAGAACAATAAATGCTACCACAATGTTTTACAATTAATAATAATAATTATTTTATCATTTAAGTAATGAAAATTATTAGTATTTATTTATTTAGCATTATGATTGATAATGGGAATTTGGGAGAAGTTTTAAAATTTAATTGGCAAAAAAAAAATGTCATTACATTACAAATAATAAAAAAATAATTTACGTTTTAAGGGTGAAATATGATTTAGACATGTTCTTGGCAGATTTCCAGATATAATATCTGCTGTAATTTAACATCATTTAGACAGGATGCTTAGTGTTTAAGACATTTTAACCCCAAATGTAATCAATTCACAAATAGCATATTGAATGAATTTCATTACGTTTGAGTGACATAGTAAATAACAGTAAATGTGTAAATCGTGCAGTATGCAGCTCACTAGTACTCCATTCTACACACAGTGTCTACATCCATCTACGTGTCCTTTGCCATAGCCCACCCCTACAGTGTCCTCCCATATCAGCGTGACAGAACAGTGTCTATAATTCATGTAGGGTGTTAACTGATTGGCTAAAATCCCTAAGCCTGTAGACAGTGTGCTGATTGGCTGAGTATTTGACAGCAATGGAGACCCTTATGTCAGCCTGTAACAGCTCTGCATCATCAGGTCGGAACCGGACAAACTCCATCTACCCCCTCATTATGCAGTTTTCCACTCACTGCCAGTTTGCACATGCAAAAGCACACAGAAGCCTAGAGACCTAAAATTAACTTTCAAAGAAACCCAGCACTCATTTCTCCATCACTGCATCATCAAGCCAGCAGCAGCGGTGAGTGTGTGTGTAACAGTGTATGGATGGCTGTGACTCATTGCTCCGGCAGGAAATCGTGAGAGAGTGGTACGACGTCGACACCAGTCCATGTGCAACGACAGGTAGAAGATTAGAAAATGATCATATTGAAGATTGTGGAGGGCTGTGCTGGCATAACTCACAAATAAAAGATGAGTGGAGGGAGGAGCGATGTAATAAGCGAAATACCCTTTTAAGATGCTGCAATCCCAGTGACATTTCATAAGCGCTGCTTCCAATTTGTGGACTGCACAGGTGAGAATCGCGCCAAACTGGGGCCATGTGAATGATTTAATCATACTTGAAACCAAGCCACGTGTAAGAGAGATGTAGAAGAGAGCAACAGTCTCATCACAAATCTTATAAATCAGGTGCTCTGTGAGTCAAGGCGAACGGAGGGACAATAAAGCCTACTCAGAAAACACTTTAAATTCATCAGTGTGATATGTGAAAGTGAAAGAAACTATTTGTTTAAATCCTATAATAAAAAGACTGATAGAAAGGCATCACCACGGGACAGATATGGCCGGTTCAGCTCTCTCACACATCCCTGAAGAGCCACTCAGCCTCTCTGAAGGCATTTCATCATCTCTGCGAAGCAGAGGAGATAAAGCAAAGGGGAAAACCTGTTGTCATATAATCTCCTTATCCTGACAAATACCATCACTCTCTTCAGCACTGGACACAGCTTTTGCACACATCTGCCTCAAAGACAGTACATAACAGTACAACAGTGTAGAACCATCCATCCTCTAAACCACTACCCTTATGTAGGGTTGCGGGCAAAATGCAAAAAAAAAAAAGTTAAAAAAAATCAATCAATTAATTAATTAAAGGGGTCATATAATGCTGCTAAAAATAACATTATTTTGTGGGGCAAAATGCAAAAAAAAAAGTAAAAAAAAAATCAATCAATTAATTAATTAAAGGGGTCATATAATGCTGCTAAAAAATAACATTATTTTGTGTATTTGGTGTAATGAAATGTGTTTATGTGGTTTAAGGTAAAAAAAAACATTTTTTTCCACATTGTACATTATTGTTTCTCCTCTATGCCCCGCCTTTCTGAAACGGCTTGTAACACTCCAAAGAGAAAGGAAAAATTGAAAATCGCATCATATGCCCCCTTTAATTAAAAAAAGTTTGAAGAAAAATTAATTAAATAAAAAAAATCAATTATATTTTATTTGTAAAATGAGTATCTTTTGAAATATACACTTAGATTCAAAAATTTGGGATCAGTAAGGTTTTTTTTAAAGAAATTCATTTTATTCAACAAGGTTGCAATAAACTGATCAAAAGTGACACTAAGGACATTACATTTACATTTACATTTAGTCATTTAGCAGACGCTTTTATCCAAAGCGACTTACAATTGGGGGATACATAAAGCGATTCTTCTTAAAGAGGCAAACAGACATAAGAAGTGGTTGTAATACCAAGTTCTTAGACATTGTTCAAATAAGTACAAGCTAGAAAGAGAAGGAATAAATAAAGAGAGAGATACTTTTTTTTTATTTTATTTTTTTTTATATGATGAAGTCAAGTAGCTTCGTAAACATAAAACTATGTCTGCATTTGTGATCGGAGAAATGACAAACAACAAGCTTTACTCTACACTGCCCAAAAAAACTTGCTTTAAATATATAATATATAAAAACTCTTTAAATATAAAAAACTTACAGTTACTTACAGTCTTTGAGTCAGAACAGCCGGCATTGAAGTCTACTCTACCAGGATCAGTAAACAGTCCTCCATAAAATGTGCTGCACACAAATGTATATTTTGATTGAAGTGTTCTGGAACAGTGTTGTAAATACAACTTAACCACTGATTTCTAGTCGTGTCCATTTTTGGAAGGCCAAACAAACTAGTTTCGCTTTCACAACGAAA